CCTATCTGCCAGACATTTAGTGTCTGGACTCCAATCCCTATAAACAGGACTAATGAAAGAAGATGTAAAAACTGAAAATTAGGCAAATGACAGACAAAAGTATAGGCCCAGGCAGTTAGATGGAGAATTTTGCTACTACAACTGAAGTGATTAGAACCAGGTCACAAGGCTTAAGTAAGACCAAGAGCAAAAGTAATGATGTTAATTATGAGAATATGATGTTGAAGCTCTTTTAGTCCATTCCAAGTTTGGGATTAGACTAGAGACTGGACTTGGTCTGCAAAAAGCCAAATATCTCCAGCTCTCCGGTCATGAAACAGAAGAGGAATGGGGAGTGTGAGACCCAAGTGCAACACAAAGATGTGTATCCCAGAGACAGGTTAGCCTTGCTGAGCAGTTTGCTTGGAGCTCAGCATCCCTATACTGTACCTGCTTTCAAAGAGTTTTCCATTTCTTTCTTCTGAGACTACACATTTTTTACATCTCTGCTTTTGGGGGGCCTTTTTAAAAAAAATTTTTTTTTTAATATTTTTTTTTTTGCAGTACACGGGCCTCTCACTGCTGTGGCCTCTCCTGCCGCGGAGCACAGGCTCCGGACGCACAGGCCCAGCGGCCATGGCTCACGGGCCCAGCCGCTCCGCGGCACGCGAGATCCTCCCAGACCGGGGCACGAACCCGCTCCCCCTGCATCGGCAGGCAGACCCTCAACCACTGCGCCACCAGGGAAGCCCGGGGGTGCATTTTTTCCCCACCATCAACAGAGTTGGCAAAGCAGGGATTGTCATTTTTAGATGTGGGTCATTTGTTAGATGGGTTTATCTGGAAATGCATGTGAGCTGAAGTTGATCCAAAAGGCAAGAGAGGTAAGACTGAGAGGCTGGTAATGTGTCCCATGAAAGAGAAAGGAGGTTGTACTGAAGACAGAGTTCAAACTGTGACAGATGGATTTGAGGAAGATGAGCTTGTCATAAGCTCGTATTTCAACAACCTGGAAGTGAACAACCTGGATTTGAAGAGACAGTTACACATCAGTACTTGGCGATTCTGAAATCCTGCTGCTATCCAGATGTCAGATCCTATTAGCTCTCCTATGACCACCAATCTAAAGAGATGCCAGGAACACAGTCTCTGGGCTGTCAGCACAGTTTTAAATCACGTCATCTGAACGTATCTTTGTTGTTCTTTACAAGCTTTTTGTTTACTGTGGGCCTAGGTCTAAATAAAGATTTTTAAATCACTTCATATTTTAACAGGATTTTTAACAGTCACACTGACATTTTCTCTAGAGATCAACACCACATCTTAGCTCCTCTCTCCAAATGGGATACAAGACTATATGTGGGAATTTCAGGTCTTTTTCTAGATTCACAGCTATAAATAAGTAAATTTTACCTTTGAGAGGCATCCCTTTCTGTTTTCTATATCCCACTTTCCCTATCAAGCAACTGATTTCCTCCTGTTGCCTTTAACTCCCAAGTCTTCTTTGTATTGTCCTTCTCAATGCAGCACTGGTTGTTACAGACTTTTGCTGTCCCATCTTCCTTCCGATCTATGTAGAATTCATTCTCTAAGAATTCTAGTTTAAAAAATTGGTTATCCTAATATAATAAAGTATGTGAGACAAAGTGCTAAATACCAATGGTACTTAAGGAGTCACTCTGTACATGTATCGCTGATGTGTGTTTATATATGTGTTTGCTTATTCACTTATTTAACTATATCTATGAACACTTATTATGTGCCATGTACTATGCTAGCTGTTTTGCATACATTATCTCATTTATTGGGTCTTTGATGCTTTCTTTACCTTTGGCCCAAGGGATACATGTAGTCATTCCTTACTTCACAGAAACCACCTCAAGAATATATGAAAACGACTACCCATATGAATTGCCTGGCTACTATGATTAAAAACTTAACCCATTAAAACAGAGGTATGTAGTAAAATTCTAATAGTAAACCAAAATTTTTTTTAAATGTTTGGCTAGCCCTTGGTAGAATACCCTACTGAGCTGTAACTCCTGGTCCTTAGGACAAGGAATGAATACTGTTAGATTTTCATGCAACCTGGCAAGGCCATCAGGAAAGACATTTTTGGTCAAAGAGCACTTTACTGACTTCAAATTATAACATGTAGCTAGCTTTCTCTTCTGTCATTGAGGCAGGCCAGTTCTAGCTAAGTATGTGCTGAGGTCAAAGCTGAATCACAGGTATGCCCAAATATAGCTCATCTTTCTGAAAACTGTGGCCTCCTTTCCACAGCTGCTGTGTGTACAACACACGAGTTATTAGCCTTATGCAGAGAAGCGGCCCCTTCTTAGAGAGAGTAGGTCCAGTGAAAAGCACTGGCTTTTAAAATAAGGAGGAAAGTAGGAGTATGCAAATTAAATAAAGATAAGTTGTTAAAGGTTAACTAGTTTCTCCTGGTGGTGTTATAAGCAAATGGCATAGTCATTCTCTAGTTCTACAATATTTAAATGTTTTATTTCAGTCACATAGTGGGAGCTGAGAACAAATGTGGGTAAACCAGATACAAAATACCTTCACAGAACATAAGCTAAAACCTATTCCCTTAATCCTTCAGTGTTGAATCATATGTTATGTCTGGACCATAAATATGAAGAATGCCAAAGTAGCTGGGCTATTGCCATGATCTTGTACACACACACACACACACACACACACACACACACACACACACAATCATATCCATGCTGAAAATGTTACCGTCATTGCTATTGTATTAGTTTTCTATTGCTGTGTAATAACTTATTGGAAACCTAGGGCTGAAAACACCTATCATTACGTCCCAGTTTCTGTTGATCAGAGGTCTGGCACAGTGAAGCTGGGCTCTCTGCTCAGGGTCTCACTAGACTAAAACCAAGGTTTTGGCTAGGCTATATTCTCATCTGGAGCTTCCAAATGTATTCACACTGTTGGAAGAACCTATAGATCTCTGCATTTATACAACTGAGGTTCCTGTTTTCTTGCTGGCTGCCTTAGCTCTTAGGGGCCACCCTCAGGTCCTAGCCACATGGCCCTCTCACAACAAGCTAATTTATTTCTTCAAAGCTGGCACTAGAATCTCTCTCCAGTCTGCTACTATGGGAAGGAGTCATTTAATGCAATATAATCACTTGAGCAACTATACCATCACCTTTGCTACATAACATAGCCTAGCAAGGGAGTGAGTACCTCGTATTCACAGATGCCACCCACACTTAAGGGGAGGAGATCTGTACAGCACATATGGGAGCAGAATCTTGGAGGCCATCTTGGAGGCCTACAACAACTATTACTCAGAACAAGGGCTGAACCCTGTGAATTATATGACTGAGGAGAGAGCAAAATGTTACTTCCAGAACCTAGAAGTCAAGTGTAAACTGTCTCAAGATGAAGAACAGTGCTTTCCAAGAAAAAAAGAAGAAAAAAATCCATAAATGTCTACCAAGTTTCCCAGAGGAAGACACTCAGGTCTAAATTTCACTGTATACTTTGAACTACGCCCAGTAGAGATGCAAATTCCTATACAGACCGATAATAAGGCTGACAAAGATTTATGGATGACTACCTAAATGATACCTGTACCTCAGTTTTGGCAACCCCAAACCCTGTACCTCCTTTCTCCACTACATTCCTTCTTGTTATACCCAATAGCTGGCTATAAGCCAACGTGGCAACACTGCATTCTCTAGAGGTAGAGTAAAAAAAAATCAATATTCAAATAGTAACTTTGACATTTTCTGGAGTAAGATTAAAACAACCAGGTCAGCAAGTTTTGATTCTGCAATACCTGCATACCTCAGAGATATTGTGGGTTTGATTCCAGACCACTGCAATAAAGTGAAATTGCAATAAAGCAAGTCACATGAATTTTTTTGGTTTCCCACTGCATATAAAAGTCATGCTTATAGCATTCTGCAGTCTATTAAGTGTACAACATCACTATGTCTAAAAAACCAATATACAGACCTTAATTTAAAAATGCTTTATCCATAAAAAAGTGCTGATCATCATCGGACAACACAGGGTTGCCACAAACCTTCAATTTGTAAAAAAGCACAATATCTTTGATGCATAACAAAGCAAAGCACGATAAAATGAGGTATGCCTGTATATCTCCTGTATAATCACCTCCCCTTGAATGATGGTGGACCTGTAAGTATGACGAGATAGGCTTTCCTTTGATTAAGTGACATTACATGGCAAAGTGATGGGACAGTCATTCCCATGACTGATATAATGATTATATTATATAAGACTCCATCTGAACAGACCGGGGAGATTTTCTTGGTAGCCTTGAAAAGTAAGGGTCACATGAGTAGGCCTTGAGGAGACTTCTAGGAGCTGAGAGTAAGCCCAAGTTGGCGGCTAGCAATAAAATGGGGACCTCACACATACAGTTGAAAGGAACCTAAACCTGTCAATGACCTGAATGAACTTGAAAGAAGTCCCTGAGCCTCAGATCAGATCACATCGCAGACGACCCCTTGATTTTGGCTCCGTGAGACCCTGTGCAGAGGAACCAGCTAACCCCTGACTGAAAAGCTAATCAGTTGAAACTGTGTGATAATATGATTGTGTTGCCTTAAGGTGTTAACTCTGTGGCACTTCTTCATGCAGCATAGAGACCTAACATATAAACAAATTGAAACATAAATAAAATAAGCAAACTAGCAAAATTAGCTTTAGGAATTTTCTGCAGCAATACCTCTCAGTAACTGAATCCCAACTGGTCTCACTGAGTAGCTACAGTATTTCCAGGCATTTAAAATGTATTGAAAACAAAAATACCTAAAATAACCCCCACATTTTTTGGTGGTACTCCAGAGGATTGGAGATGACAAACTAAAGCAAAAACTCCTTAAGTGATGAAAGAATGCCAAACCAGTGGGGATTTAATCATCTAACTCCAACAAGGTTAAAAGAAAATCTAAATAATTAATTATGATAGATATTATGTGTATTCACATATATGCACAGAAGCAAAGGGCACTTACTCTGAAAGCTGTTCACTGAGAAGACTCGAGGATGATAGAATCCTGCTTTGCAAATGCACTGATAGGCTCCAAGCACGAATCCTAGGCCCTTAATCGGCATACACTATGAGAAAGAAAAGACAGCAGTACCGTTGATCATAGTTTACTTCACAGTATAAAGACTCACAGATATCCATCATTGCAAATGGTAACAGAGATACTACATTTTCCAGAAATAAAATATCTCATTTTTGAACTTTATTTTAGGTTTGTTTGCCAACAGACATTTTTTAAGTAGTTTTCTTTCTAAATATATGCCATTACAGCTGCAGTTGCCATACATCTTTAACTCATTCAGTTGCCATAGGAAGTAATTATAGACAGTTCTTTTTAATGCCTCACATATCATCTTATTGCCTTAAGAGATATTTCTTAAGCCTATAAGAATATTTTTAAAAGTGATTCCATGCGAAATATTTCCACCAAAGCAAAGGTAGGTAAGTAGATGGACAGACAGATACATAGAATTTAAGATGTGGAAATTGCCTTTAAGAATTAAATATTCATCAAATTTCATCCTCGGATTAAAAAATACAAATTGATGGAATAACAAAACAAGTAAACTTTAAAGTGTAATTTAGAAGAGGAAAAAAAGATAAATTAATGATCTGAAGTGCTCTTTACCTAAAATCTGTTTCATAGATAAATATTCTACATGTAAATAAACATGAAGAAAAGTAATGATTGGCTTTCCAAATATATCACACCAATAGACATGATGGACATCCCAAAAGCTTAATATTGGCATCTTTCAAGAATATCACTGAACCCTAGCAAAATTCAGTTTAACATACTTCATTTCTTTTTTTTTTTTTAACATCTTTATTGGAGTATAATTGCTTTACAATGGTGTGTTAGTTTCTGCTTTATAACAAAGTGAATCAGCTATACATATACATATATCCCCATATCTCCTCCCTCTTGTGTCTCCCTCCCACTCTCCCTATCCCACCACTCTAGGTGGTCACAAAGCACCGAACTGACCTCCCCGTGCTATGCGGCTGCTTCCCACTAGCTATCTATTTTACATGTGGTAGTATTTATAAGTCCATGCCACTCTCTCACTTCGTTCCAGCTTACCCTTCCCCCTCCCCGTGTCCTTAAGTCCATTCTCTATGTCTGCATGTTTATTCCTGTCCTACTCCTAGGTTCTTCAGAACCTTTTTTTTTTTAGATTCCATATATATATGTTAGCATACGGTATTTGCTTTTCTCTTTCTGACCTACTTCACTCTGTATAACAGACTCGAGGTCCATCTACCTCACTACAAATAACTCAATTTCATTTCTTTTAATGGCTGAGTAATATTCCATTGTATACATGTGCCACATCTTCTTTATCCACTCATCTGTCGATGGACACTTAGGTTGTTTCCATGTCCTGGCTATTGTAAATACTGCTGCGATGAACACTGTGGTACATGACTCTTTTTGAATTATGGTTTTCTCAATTGACTCAAGTGCTGGGTCATATTGTAGTAATATTTTCAGTTTTTTAGGGAACCTCCATACTGTTCTCCATAGTGGCTGTATCAACTTACATTCTCACCAACAGTGCAGCAGCGTTACCTTTTCTCCACACCCTCTCCAGCATTTACTGTTTGTAGATTTTTTTTTTTTTTTTTTTTTGCGGTGCGCGGGCCTTTTTCATTGTGGAGCACAAGCTCCGGATGCGCAGGCTCAGCGGCCATGGCTCACGGGCCCAGCCGCTCCATGGCATGTGAGATCTTCCCAGACCGGGGCACAAACCTGTGTCCCCTGCATCAGCAGGCGGACTCCCAACCACTGCGCCACCAGGGAAGCCCTTTATTTATTTATTTATTTTGTGGTACGAGGGCCTCTCACTGTTGTGGCCTCTCCCATTGCGGAGCACAAGCTCCGGACGCGCAGGCTCAGCGGCCATGGCTCACGGGCTCAGCCGCTCCGCAGCATGTGGGATCTTCCCGGACCGGGGCACGAACCCGTGTCCCCTGCACCGGCAGGCGGACTCTCAACCACTGCGCCAGGAGGGAAGCCCGGTTTGTAGATTTTTTTATGGTGGCCACTCTGACTGGTGTGAGGTGATACCTCACTGTAGTTTTGATTTGCATTTCTCTAATGATTAGTGATGTTGAGCACCCTTTCATGTGTTTATTGGCAATCTGTATATCTTCTCTGGAGAAATGTCTATTTAGGTCTTCTGCACATTTTTGGATTGGGTTTTTTGTTTTTCTGATATTGAGTTGTATGCGCTGCTTGTAAATTTTGGAGGTTAATCCTTTGTCAGTTGCTTCATTTGCAAATATTTTCTCCCATTCTGAGGGTTGTCTTTTGGTCTTATTTATGGTTTCCTTTGCTGTACAAAAGCTTTGAAGTTTCATTAGGTCCCATTTGTTTATTTTTGTTTTTATTTCCGTTTCTCTAGGAGGTGGGTCAAAAAGGATCTTGCTGTGATTTATGTCAGAGTGTTCTGCCTATGTTTTCCTCTAAGAGTTTTAGAGTGTCTGGCCTTACATTTAGGCCTTTAATCCATTTTGAGTTTATTTTTGTGTCTGTTGTTAGGGAGTGTTTGAATTTCATTCATTCTTTCACATGTAGCTGTCCAGTTTTCTCAGCACCACTTATTGAAGAGACTCTCTTTTCTCCACTGTATATTCTTGCCTCCTTTATCAAAGATATGTGTGTGGGTTTACCTCTGGGCTTTCTATCCTGTTCCATTGGTCTATATTTCTGTTTTTGTGCCAGTACCATACATACTTCATTTCTGCTACATTCAATTACATAAGGATGAAATAACTTCCATTAAAATACAGTTTATCAGTAAAACAGGGTGTTTCAAGAATTTGATCAACACTGAAATTTCTTTTTTGATAGCTCTCTACCAAGATCCCAACACTTTGCCTTTTTGCCATTATAACCTATTAGAGGAGCTTAGAATTTAGTGAATCTGAAAGTTACAAATAGTGACCCTCTGACAGAGGCCCTTGAGAGAAAATACTAAATTATCTAAATAATAATCCCTCAATCTAAGCTTTCATGATTAGTAATAAGATCAAAATTGCATATCATGAAAATTCCAGCAAACAATAAAGTATTTATATGTAAGGTAGCAAGAGCTAATACATGCTCTAAATTCATAGGTTATAGCAAGAAAATCTTTGAAAAAGAGCTTTCTAAAAGACCTTGAATATTTTATTTCATTAATACCCTTTTTTTTTTTCACCCAACACTCATATCTTGCAAATGAAAACACAGTTCTTGACCCAGAGCAAAATACAAGGACAGACAAGTACCAGTCAATTCAACTGGGTTGGCAAGTAGTTATGAAAGAACTATTGTGTGTGTAGAGAATTCCTCCAGGACTTAAATGAAATAACACATCCTACTTATAAAGGTCTAGTGATATAGTGGGTCAGGTCCTATTTCTGAATTGTATAAATAAAAAGGCAATTGTAACACTTACTTTGGAGAAGCACTAGTATTATAAGAGATCATATTGTTTGTGGTCAGTCAGGAAACATATGCCTGAGTTCTGACTTACTAGTTATGTGAATTTGGGGCTGTTCTCTTAACTTCGCTGAGACTTATTTTTTTTAACTTGTAAGAACAATCATTCAATTAGATTCAGGAACACTTTGAAGAAAGCAGAACTACCAAGATGTCCTAATAGCTGAAATACAGGGTATAAGAAGAAGAGAAGAATAAAGGATGACTCCCAGGATTTTGGCCTGAGCAACCTTAAGAATGGAGTTGCCATCAAGGATCTGGGAAAGGCTGCAGGTGGAGTTGATTTGGAGAAGAGAACACAAGTTCAGTTTTGCAAATGTTAAGTGTGAAGTGTCTATTTGAAATTTAATTCCTGATATCAAATAAGTAGTCTGGGGCTTCCCTGGTGGCGCAGTGGTTGACAGTCCGCCTGCCGATGCAGGGGACACGGGTTCGTGCCCTGGTCCGGGAAGATCCCACATTCCACGGAGCGGCTGGGCCCGTGAGCCATGGCCGCTGAGCCTGCGCATCCGGAGCCTGTGCTCCGCGACGGGAGAGGCCACAACAGTGAGAGGCCCGGGTACCGCAAAAAAAAAAGTAGTCTGATAAAGTAGTATGGAGTTTGGGAGAGATGTCTGGGCTCTATAATTTGGGATTCATTTGCATAAAGACGATAGACAAAGCCATGAGATCAGATAAGACTAGATCATTAAGGGAGTGCCTGTAGGCAGTGAAGTTAATAGATCCAAAGGGATGAGACTCAGGACACTCCAAGGCTAAAAGGTTAGGCAGAAGGAAGAAGCAAAGGACACTGAGAAGTGCAATTCAGTGAGGTACCATTATTTAATTAACTAGATTGTGACACTAAGTGCATAACATTGAATTTCTTGTGAGTTACATTTATTAAACATTCACCCAGCCAAGATATACCCAAGCAAACTAAGTCTTAGATACTAAGAATAGCAGTGCAGTTTAAATATTCTGCTTCACTGGAATTTGAAGGTTAATGCTATTCATTTAATCAGCACTAATTCCCTGGTAATATGACTCGGCACTACAACAGTGACTCAGTTGAGAATTTTAAATGTTTAAGGCAGATCTGAAAGTTTATTGGAATAAGGGTATCTCTTTAATATAAGCTAACTATAGAGCTGAAAGAAAATGAAGTTTTTTAAAAAATCTATTGATTAGATAAACATCAATAAATGTGGATTAGATAATTAGTTGATTAGATAAACATCACCAAATATAAAGTCCCCTGAACTTAAAAAAAAATGCTTCCTAATTTTATTATGGGAAACACTGCAATATGAATTATTAGTTACCTCAAACTCTTTGTTCATCTTAAATTATCTTATATCCTTAAAGAAAAATTTTAAAATGTTCAACCTGTTAAATTCAATAAAAGAATATCATCTGTTACAGTGGAGAAAAAAAAAAAGAATATCATTCCGCTACACACACTATGTGTGGAACCGAATGTGCTGTTGCTTACACACACTTGTCTTGGAGTGTAAAAGTGATCTTACCATACTTTCGTGTTCCATCCACCACCACCATTCTGTAGCTACTTCAATTTGGCCACCTCCCAGCCAAACT